TAAAACATGCGGAGTGTGGATACAATGGTTTTGTAATAATGCTAATTTTTTATGAAAAAGATATTAAATATTAAATATATATATATATATATATTATTTAATAAAATCATATAATAAATTTCTAAATACCTAATGCTCTCTACAAATAAAAAATAAAAAAGTTAAATAATAATTATAAATAATAAATGAATTTATTTAATCATTTAGTTATACGAATCAATAATAAACATGATCTAATTAATAAAAACCTGATAATGTATCCCACCATCTCGTAAATTTGGATCAGGATGAAATGGAGATGCAGCAAAGAAAACACTATTGAGTAAAAGAAATTGTTGTGGTGTTGATAAATCTTTGAAACAGTCAAGTACAACTTTTCTCTTTAGGTGAGGATAATGTCTATATATTTTCTTCAAAAAAGTACATATATATTATTGTTAAGAATAACATTTAGATTAAAATGTTTATATGCGCGTGCGCACACACACCTGATAATAAACATCAATCAAACTTTCTGCTGTTTTAGGATTAGGCATAATTTTTAAATATGGTTCAATAACAGATAAATCATCTTGTGGTTGCGGAATCATTTGTTCTTCCCCCGTCTCATTCAACATCAACAATGACCCTGTACCAACATATCTAGTTGACTCATATATTTTCAAACTACTTTTCAATTGATTGGTAAGTTCTTCTATAGATGTTTGATCTGCGTGACCAAATTTGGTGTTATTATAGTTATCTGAATCATTTATTGGAATACCCTATATATGAATTATTTATGAAGAGGCAGATGTATAAGATATAATATTATTATTTATCATTTATTAATAATCATCTTTTTCCGACCTGTTCATCTTTTTGAATAGAAGCAGCGAATTGGGAAGTGAATTGTAATGTTTCTTCAGAAAGATTTTGATTTAAACTTGGTAGAAATTGGATAGATTCTACATCCAAAGGAGGATAAAACCCACTCCAGTCCTATATTAAAAAATAGTCATTTGAAAAATTCAAGTATAATTTATTTTTTCTCAAATACCGATAAAAAAATCTTACAAGAACTCCATTTCCAGCTAAATAATCATTTTCAACTTGTAATGCAACATTCTCTCCAGGAATCAATGTATCACTAGTATTAAAATCACCATTAATATTAGCATCAGTAGTAGTAGCAATCTCTAATAACGCATTCATCTGATTTAGTTGTTGGTATTGTATGGACTGAATATCCTCAACTTGTTCTTGTAGAATTTCAAGTTCACTTTTTGGACGAGGTCGTTTCGATGATGCTGAAAAGTTATAAGTACAGACACGTTTAGTCTTATTGCAAGTCCCACAAATTGGTTTTTCTTTGTTACATTTTACTTTACGATTCTTACAGTTGTCACAGGTTTCTATTGGTTTGATTCGTCTTGCCAACATGTCATTGGTCGAAAATAAGTTGGTGGTGGTGTTGTTAGGTATAGTATCGGGTGGTGGCATGCTCATTTTTAAATAATGAAAAATTGTATGTTCTAAAAAAAAGACTTATTGAAGGCAGAGATTCAAAAGTTGTTAATACTATTACTACTACTATTATTACTACCTAACCACTACTATTAATAAAAAATACCAAATTCCAAATTCAATTGGAGGTAGTTAAAATCAAAATTTAATTAGATATAGTCTATATAAGTATACATTTTAAAATTGAAAAATCAAATTTTGTGATTGTATTAATTTTTTTAGGAGAAATGCATACTTTATTTTGGACGGTACTTATTCTACTTCATAGTCGTAATTTGACAATGTTCACATCAAACCATTTACCGATTAACAATATTGATGAAGAAACTAGAATATCATCACAAGCAATCTGTTTTCATGCAGCTACAATACTTTTGCATTGGCTTGATGTATTGATGAATTCTGTATCAGATTTTTTTGAACAATCATGTACAGCATTATTTTCAATAGCACCAGCTATCAGAGTTTTATCATGGACAGCACAAAAAGGGGACGAAAAGGCTGCAAGTATGGTGCAACGACTAAAAGAAATCAAAAACCAAGTTAGGGAAATTGCTAGGAGAAGGTTTGGTGGTGAGGGTAGATTGGATGGCGAGATGACATTGAAAAATTTGTTGATTAGTGCAAAAGAAGAGGAAACTAAAAATGCACAACAGATTAAATCAGAAAATGGCTTTACATTGTTTGAATTTGATGAGCACGATAATTATTTTTCTCATACAACAACTAATAACAATGGCAATAAAGGAAGAAAACATAGTTATAATAGAAGAAAAAATAATATGTCCACCTATCTACCTGATAATATAAATAATTTTAATTTTACATTTTCAATAGACGGTTTCAATAACAATTTTCAAAATAAAGTGTCAACACAACCATCATATCCTCCATCGTCTTCATCATTATCACCATCATCACCACCACCATCATTATCACCACACCCGCACCAACAAATTTTGACAAATTCTGACAATGTTACCAATTTACATTTCCAACCAATCATTGTCAATAACCCAATGACAAATA